CAAAACAGTATCATGCATAGTGCACGTGATCTCCCAGACAAGGCTGCTTGTACAGAGTCGTACTAAGAAACGACCGACTTTTTTAATACTATGCGGCTGGGTATAGAATTTTTTTTAAGGTGTTAGCAGTTTTTTCAGCCGTATCAGTACTTGATATTTTAATATTTTATTTTAAAAATTTTAAACTTTAAATACCGTATATGTACACACTACAGACGTTGAAACGTAACTGACCACTCCGACACTGTAACATGAATTCCGTCAGCCGATTGCAGTTGAATCTGATTGTTGCTGACCAATCAGAAGGCTTGTTTATTCTACCCAGTAGATGCAAATTATTATTTAAATGAATTTTGAGGTATTCAATTGAAACCACTACAATTCTGGTCACTTTTGTTCGTAGTATCAACAGTGAAAAATCACCTGTTACAAGTTCTTCCACTTATACGTGGTAACTTATTCATTGTTTCTTTTACAATGGACTATTACTCTTATAACAAATATATTCACTATTGAAAACAATTTCCCAACACCAGAACAAAATTACGTTCTCTCGACGCGCGTTTCTCTAACCAACTTAGCGTCCTCAGGAGATCATTATGATGATCTCCTGAGGACGAATACTTGGTTAGCGAAACGATCATCGAGATACCTTAATTTTTTTCTGGTGTTAGGAAAGTGCTTTCAATAGACGCCAGACGATCCAAATATAATATCTGTATGTGTTTTCATAAGATGATCAATACCCAGATACTNAGGGAAACCGCATGGACATTTGTAAAAATTCAAACCATTTTCAACAGACATCGATATACTAGTTCGGATAATGAACTTGATTGAATTTCGCATTGAAATATTATTATACTAATATGAGGGAGGCGCCTAAGGTGTACAGGAGATACTAGTACTCTTCATGAGGCTAGAACCATAAAAAATGTTTTTTTTTTTGTTTCGTTACTCTCACAATTTCAGTGTAGACAGGCTGTGGGTCTTTGAAATACTGAAAATATTCATAATTTCCACGAAATAAATTTTGCTGATCTCAATGAGTAGTCCCTATAGAAAAGGTTATTATGTATTCTTTTATACATGCATTAGCTTAATAATTATTTGTGAAACCATAAAAAATCGAGCAAGGGTCTTTTTCATGAAGAATATTTTCTGAACTTGGTTGTAAAAGTTACATTATCGGTATCCCATTATCATATATACTCTGTCCATTTAAGCATCGGAGTGCTCCAAAGCATCATCGTGCATAGTACACGTGATCTCCCAGACAAGGCTGCTTGTACAGAGTCGCACTAAGGAACGACCGATGTTTTTAATACTTTGCGGCTGGGTATCGAAACATTTTTAAGGAGGAGTGTAGGGACACAAATTAGCAGTTTCTTCAGCCGCATCAATACTTGACATTTTAAAAATTTTTAACTTTGAAATACAAACAAGTATGCCTCCATATTTTATAACGTATCAAGAAAACATTATTTCTCGTGCTGGCTTCATATTTATAACCTCATCTTTCAGGTTCTGATAATGAAGATAACCCCGAAAATTCCGTGTTTGGTATTAGGATTACGTCCTGTATAATTCCAAACTATGAAACTAGCTTTCAGTGTACTCTTACACTCACCTATTCTATGAATTGTTCACTCTTTCATGCAGGATGCCTACTAACGATTAATTGCTTCCGTAGAACGAGGCAGCAGTCGATAATTTCCTGCTATTCCATTTAATTTGCATAGATAGGATCGACACAAAAGTTGATATCATCGAGTGATGAAAACGTAATCGGTAACGACCGTGTCTGTTTGGCTTATCCGAAATTTCGAAAAGGTGTCGAAATGGATGATTATCTGACTGTCTGATCATCAGGTGGTCATTTTTTGAACTACCTCCAGGAGGATAAATTTATTGTTCGGTTAGAACGCCCGTCTCGGTTTATAGTTATTTATTGAGTCGTCGATGTCCCACTTTCTGTAGGTTATCGTCGAGATTGGATACAAGTTTTTCAAGATGGGAAAGAAGGAAAAATAATTTATTTTCCGGAAATAAAGTTTGTGAAATTATAAACATCAATAAAAATTAATTGGCGCTCCGGGGCGACTTGATTCCAGTGGCGCATTTGCTTTTTCAGCTGCAGGAGTATTGATTCTGCTATTGTTTTGCCCACGCAGAGTATTCAACAAGAACCCCAAGAATTCAGAACAATCCTCTTGTTTTCCTAACGAGTAACTAGCGGACTTCAAAGACTTGGAGGGAAAGATGATACATTCTTACGAAACTGCAGCTGCATGAACAGATATTTGAGTTTGGTGAATAAGTAGGAAACATTCTCGTTCTCGTTCATCATTAAAACCTCGTTCTTTAAATTTTTCGTCATGTACAACACTTGTAAAATGCTATTCAAGTAGCAAGTGTTTCCTAAATTATCTAATCCAATTTTCTTCTCAAAATTTTCAGGACAACTCTACTTATTCATAAGGAAGAACATTTTTCACGTAATCTGCATAAGAAAGAACCATTTCATAAAACATTTTCGATTTCAGTTAAAAATTAATTTCAGAAAATAGGTTTGTTTGGAAGTCCTCAGAAACAGTTTCGTTTTAATTATACATATTATTGTGAATAAGAACCTTTTCAAAGCAGAGATAAAATTATTGATAGTGCTTAAACAATATGTATGATATTAATATGAAAATTTCATATCTGCGAGGCATTTTACAAGAAAAATTATTTTCGAATTAATTAGTACGTATGACCACAGTACATTACATATTTACGTAATAGATATGTCACCAACGTTGAAATTGATGGATATAATAATGAGGGAATTGGAGTAGAGGACATTGATGTGTTCGTGGCTGATAGTGATGGATTAAGCACCTGATGATGAGGAAATGTTTTTTTTGAACCATGCAAAAATAATGTTCTTTCAATAAAAACTATATTAATAAATATATGTCAGTTCGATGAGAGGGTGGAGTAACAGTTCCTTTGTACCTAATGTTAATGTTGTGGACATCTTCTCGGAATGAGATTTTACGCAGTAGAAAAAGGCCAGTTTCATTCGTAATTACTTTATGGTATATACAGGCTGAGTGAAGCTTATGCCTGTTCTGCATGTTCAGCCACTTAAGTTCATTCAGTTTATGAGATATGTGATGTCCTTTCCTGATACCGAATATTAATCTTAGACATGAGTTCTGCATAATTTGTATTTGTCGTTTATCTTCGTGGTCTAAACATGGCCCATAAACCGATGAGCAGTAGTTGAACCTCGAAAGCACCAATGAATCACAAAGTATCGTTTTCACATTTCTGCTTAAGTAATGTCGATTACCATATATAAGTTTCAAATTCATGAATGCTAAACGACTTGGTCACACATTTCGGCCGTTACTGCCACTATTTCGCGTTCAATGTTGGATTAGGATATTCATCATTCAAAAAAGTCCACATCGGACCAAAAAAAATAGGTATATAAACAGCTAACCCTTGTCTTCAGATTCAGTATCAATTTGCTTCTCCTGAAGATGCTAACC